ACATTTTTAATCTTAGCTCAGGAAGGAGGGCTCCAGAGCAAAGTGATTTATGCAGCAGCCAAATTGCTTCCTCACAACTTTAATGCCAGACTGGAGCAGCTGCTGGCTGGGCTCACTGGCTTGAGCCACCTAGCCCGTTTCCTATGCATTGGCCGTGCTGCTTCCTTCCAAGAGAAGACTTGGATTTGGCTTGATTTGGTTGTGGCGAAAGGTATCCCCACCCCCACCCCACCCCGGAATGTGCAGGGGAGGGAAAAGTACAGAAGAGGGCAACCAAAATAAGGGGGTTGGAACCAATGCTCCCTCTAAGCTGGGGAGTCTTGTGAGCAAAAATTCTACTTTGTGAACTACCGGCATTAAAGTTGTGAGCGAGCGATTTGGCTGCTGCATAAATCAGTTTGCTCTGGAGCCATCCCTTCCTGAGCGAAGAAAAAAATGTGTGAGCCGGAGGCTAAAAAACTGCGAGCTAGCTCACACTCACTCAGCTTAGAGGGAACACTGGTTGGAACGCCTTCCCTCTGAGGAAAAGCTGAAGAGTCTGGGACTTTTCACTTTAGAGCAGAGACCGCTGGGGGGGACAGGATAGAGGTTTATAAAATTATCCATTGGGTGGAGAGAGTTGACCAAGAGAACTTCCTCTCCTAAAGTACTAGAACTCAAAAGCATCCAATGACGCTGATGGGCAGTAGATTCAGGGTGGACACGAACAAATACTACTTTACACGGGGGGTGCGTTCAGATGGGGGCTTTATATCGGTTAGGGTGCCGGTTCCAATCGTTGTACTTACCGGCGTTCAGACGGGGCACATCTGCCTCCTGTCCCTTTACACCGTTGCACTCTGCCACTAGGTCCCAAGTGGTGGTATCCTGAGTGCAACGGTGGCTTCCGATGTACACCGGCGTCTGATCGCTCTCCACCGGTGCCTAGCCACTTCCGTTCGGAAGCCTGAGGCTTCCGTTTTTCCCCCGCCATTTTTTTTTACTCTAAGCGATATATGCGCTCGGGCAAAGCTTCGCCCTGAGCGTTTGTTTAAAAAAAAAAAAAAAGCCCTTAGTTTAACTTCCCAGAGGAGTCCGGGACTTAAGGGAGGCCAGGTTGGGCTTTAAACTTTAAAGGTAAGTCCTTACCTTTAAAGTTTAAATGTAATGGGGGGGGGTTGAGCATGCGCAAAGATCGCCATTCTGTGAATGGCTGCCTATGCGCATGCTCAAACTGTGTTTAAAAACAAAAACAAAACACGCCGACGCCCGCACCGTGTGACCGGGCGTACATCGAAGGGATCCGCAAAATGGAGGGTAAGTATGATCGTGTTTCTGCAGGCATAAACTGCACCAGTTCCAACCAGTGCAGTTTATGCCGGCAGAAAGCCCCCGTTTGAACGCACCCAGAGAGTGATGAAAATGTGGAATGTGCTGCCAGAGGTTGGAGTGATGGCCATAGGAATAAACAGCTTTAAAAGGGGATTAGATAGATTCATGGAGGAGAAGTCTATTAGTGGCTGCTAGCCATGGTGACTGAAGGGAACCTCCACTTTCAGAAGCACTAATCCTCTGAATCCCAAAGCCAGGAGGCAACATCAGGAGAAGGAGAATTAAGCAGGTCTGTGTCTGGGAGCTCTCCTCAGAATGCTCTGTAGCGATGTGCTCCTACATTGATGTAAGGGCTGCACTAGGTGGCCTCCAAAGAGTTCCTTCTGGCTCTGTTTCCAACCCTGCATTGATCCAATAATTGCCTTCTCAGGAGCTTGGTCGGTAGTACATGAGTGGGATCAAGCTCAGTTCTTCTGAAAGGCAAGCAGGGCTACTGTGCAGCATGTGAGGACTATGTTTACAGGGTGACATCATGCACTGCTGGGTCAGAACCACTTCCCCTGTATGGTAGGGAAGCTCAAACACTGGCCAATCAAGTTCCCTTTGTGTTCACCGGCTGAGAACATGGAGCCAATTGACAGTCAATCCATTCACTGTTCACACACAGTTCAACCCTCTTGGTCAGGGTTCTTTTCAAGTACAGTGTCCCGCAGTTGGCAGTGAGCTGTGATCCTTATCGCTCACCCAGCGCGTATCAGGGAGCTGGATGGCAGTCCGACACTCCCCCTCTCCCACAGACCTGGGTCCACGGTATCTGCTTGGCTTACAGAAGATGTGAAAGACTTTAAACCAGTTTCTGAGGGGTGACAGGCTGATCAGAAGCAAAACCACAAATTGCTGAGGTGCAAATCCTCCCAGCCCCAAGGAAACACTACCACCAGGCCCCTTAACTAACTAACCAGCCAGCCAGAGACCAAGGGACCAAGTCTCCAGCCACCCTGTGGCTCTGATGATTAAGTCAACCCTGCAAGGGAGGACAGTTGCAAGTTGAGTTCCAAAAAAACCCAGTTCACAGCCTTGACTAGCCAACAATGGTTCCTGTGGACCTAAGGAAAATATGAAAACAAATATGAAAATATGAAAACTTGAAATGCAGTATGGGAACCTCACTCCTGTTTAAACCATTTGTTTATTGTATCATCACAAACATGTAACAGGCTAACAGAATTCATTCCACCACAGATTTTGTAAGTGAGAGCTCATTTCATCAGATGCGCTGAAGCATAAAATCTATTGGGTCACTGGTTTTATATTCACAACAGAGCGCATGGAGGGGTGGTAAAGGTAATAAAGGGATGGTTTTAAAAATAAGATCTAATTCGTTTACTCAGAGTGGGTGAGGGCTGTTCTCAGGGCTTTTTTTGTAGAAAAAGTCCAGCAGGAACTCATTAGCATAATAGGCCACACCCAGCAGCAGAAACTCATTAGCATGTTAGGCCACACCCCTGATTGCACCACTCATTAGCATATTAGGCCACACCCCCGTGTTAACAGAAGTGTGCTCATCCAGCCACACCCACCTTTTGCTTCTTATTCTGTTTACCTTTTTTGTTGTCAAAACCCAGGGCTTTTTTTTTGTTGCAGGAACTCCTTTGCATGTTAGGCCACACACCCCTAATGTGTGCCAATCCTAATGAGTTTCTGCTGCTGGGTGTGGCCTGTTATGCTAATGAGTTCCTGCTGGATGTGGCCAACTTGGGAGCCAGCCGGAACTCCGTTCCTGTGCGTTCCTGCCCAAAAATAGCCCTGGCTGTTATAAAAGCAAAGTAGGATTAGCATAACATCTAATGCAAGATAAAAACATACAGGACATTTACAAAAGGACATGCAAGACATTAACACCTATATTGAGTGTTCAGACAGGGAGCTTCAAAGGGAGAAGCTAACATGAAACGGCTGAAGAAGAATTTGTTACAGAGTTCAAAACTATCCCACTCTGCCCCCAATATGTACTTAGGAGGGTCCTGGGAATCCAGTTCAATCTAGGTGCTAATATCTTCAAAGGAGCTGTGGTGGCTCAAGTGGTTAAGACGCTGAACTGCAGGCTGTGGAAGGTCAGTAGTTCAGCAGTTCGAGACCCGGGTGCCGCATGACGGAGTGAGCTCCCGTCTCTAGTTCCAGCTCCTGCCAACCTAGCAGTTTGAAAGCAAGAAACTGCAAGTAGATAAATAGGTACCACTTTGGTGGGAAGGACACAGCGTTCCGTGCGCCTTGGTGTTTAGTCATGCCGGCCACATGACCACAGAAACATCTTCGGACAGCGCTGGCTCTTTGGCTTTGAAACGGAGATGAGCACCGCAACCCTAGAGTCGGATTCGACTGGCTTTCAAGCAAGGGAGACCTTTACCTTCAAAGAAAAACAGACGTGAAAACAATCAACAATATGAACCCAAGTTTACAGTACCCATGAAATACATTCTTCCAACAGCCAGATCAAAAGTTATTCTGAATGGAAACATTATCTTATTTATTTATTTAAAACATTTTAATGCCGCCTATCCACCCGATCAGGGCCCACAAGGTGGTGAACATAAAAAACATTACAACATCTGAATGATTAAAATACATTTAAAATTATAACTGAAGCGGAGCCTCGAAAGCTGGCCAGAGTGAGCAGGTAGGTTTGTATGGGAGAAGGTAATTTTAAGGGATTGCTATTTTTCTAAAATATATACACACAGGGGTCATTTCCTGCAGGAGCGCACAGGAGCGGAGCTCCGGCAGTAAAGAGCCCAGGGGGCGGGCACATGCAACAAGCCCCACCCCCTGCTCCCAGCAGCCCTCAATCAGAGCAAGAAGCAGCCAGGTAAGTCACAGAGCTCCCCCCGGCCCAAAACAGTCCAGTGGCACCTTTAAGACCAAATTTTATTCAGGTACAAGCTCTCCCTCCTCTGCGAGGACAGATCTGCACGTTCCCCCCCCCCCCCAACCAAGACACTAGCAATCCAAAACAGTCCAGTGGAGCCTGAGCGGTGGGTGTTGCCTTCTGACACACTTCCAGTGATGTCGGGGGGGGGGGGTGGCATATGCAAATAAGGTATGCTAATGAGTTATGCTAATGAGCTCCTGCACCTCTTTTTCTACGAAATGACCCCTGTATACATATACATACACACAATGCCCAATCCAAATTTTCTGTCATCTTCTAATGCTAAAGAAACAGACTCTGTGCCACTGGCTAGCCAACAAGGGATCAAATGCAGATGGGTCCACATGCTCTCTCCTCCCCTTGGCACAGGCAGCTCATGGACTGATTCCTGGCATTCAGGAATGATTCCTGGCATTCTGACTCAGCAGTGGTTGAAACCTGGTTTGGGGTTGCATGATCAGGGACAATGGGAGAAGTCTAGTCTTCGAACACTAAGGCAATGATGGACTTTTAAATGCTGCAAATTTAAGTTTTACTAGTCTACCCTAATTAAACATGATTTAGGATAAGTATAGACTGTGAGAGGACTTCATGTTTTCACCTTTTCTTTGTATCCTTGCTCAGCCTGATGCTTGGACAGACCATATGTACGTTTTAAATTTTTCTTACTTATATTTTGAATGGTCCTAAGCCTGAACTCAGTAAACACATTATACTATCTAAAGAGAGGTAAAGGGGATGGGAAAGCAGGTAAGCTCACCATCCCTTGAGAGCAATGTTTGTTCTTCATGCTAGGTAGCATGAGAAAAGCAGGTGGTGTGGCTGCTAGGAAGAGAATCCAAACAGCAATGCAGACACAGAGCACTAGATCTGCAAATGCGTCTAGCAGGAAATACTCCCAGATTTTCTGGTGCGCACATACTACTCTACCCTTTACTTAATTAGTCCCATCTGACCATCAAGAGCAGTATTTTCTACTCAGGCTTTCTCAGTAGCATTTCTCAGTAGTATTTTCTACTCAGGCTTTCTAATCCACTTTCAATGCACTTTTCAACTGGATTTTGCCAGTTCACACCGTAAAAATCCAGTTGGAAAGTGCACGGAAAGTGGATTATTTAGTGTGTGTGACCGCAACCTCAGAATGGCATCAGCTCTCTGGATGCCAGGTAGAGAGTCTTTCACATCACCTACTGCTTGGTTCTTTTAACTGGAGATGTCAGGGATAGAGATGGGACCTCCTGCAAAGCAGAGGCTCTTCCACGGAGCCACATCCCCTCCCTAAGTGAGAAGCCCAAGGCCACCCTGCAGGCTTCCATGGTTGAGCATGGGATTCAAACCTAGGTGTCCTATGTTCTAGTATCACACATCAGAAAGAAGCTCAGTACCCTACTGCACAATAAGGGAAAGGGGCAGCATTGCAAAGTGGAGGTTTTGGATGGCTGGTCGGGTTTTCCAGGTTCTCAGAACCCAAAGGGAATGAAACATGTGAATCCATTCCTTCACACACTCCAATGGTCTTCCCATAGAAAAGCATTTATCGGTTTTTCCACAATGTCAGTGCTCACAGTTTACATGCAAGTTTCTTACATGACCTGCCCGAGTGACTGTTTCATTCATGGACAAGAGTTTCCCCTAGTCTGAGGCATTCTGCTGTTTTCCCCTACTGTGAATAAGCGCATGTCTCATAAGGTTTGAGTGCTGAGTGAAACAAGATCCACATTCCTGGCATTTAAATGGCTTCTCCCCTGTGTGGATTAGTTGATGTCTAAGAAGGTTTGAGTTGTGACTGAAGCTACTTCGGCACTCCAGGCATTGATACGGTTTCTTCTTGGTTTGAGTTTTCTTATCGTTTTGCATCTGACTGGAGCCCTTTTTACATTCCCCTGTCTGCATATTTTTATGCCTCTTCAGACTTATGCTGTGACTAAAGGTTTTTCCACAATCCAAGCATTTAAAAGGTTTCACATCTGTGTGGATTCTTTGATGGTTAATAAGTCTTTTGCTCAGGGTAAAGCTCCTTCCACATTCCAAGCATTTGTATGGCTTCTCCCCTGTGTGGAGTAACTGATGTATTATGAGGTTTGCATTCCGTGTGAATTTCTTTCCACATTCTGGACAGTCATATAGTTTTTCCCCAGTATGGCTTCTTTGATGGGCGGTAAGGCTTGAGTTCTGAATGAAGCTCTTTCCACACTCCAAGCATTTATATGGTTTTTCACCTGTATGGGTTCTTTGATGCATAATGAGGTTTTTACTCTGCATAAAGCTCTTTCCACATTCTAAGCACGTATATGGTTTTTCTCCCGTGTGGGTTCGTTTATGTACAATGAGGGTTGTACTCCGCATAAAGCTCTTTCCACATTCTAAACATGTATATGGTTTTTCGCCAGTGTGGATTCTTTGATGTATAAGAAGTGTTGTGCTCAGCATAAAACTCTTCCCGCATTCCAAACACTTATAGCGTTTTTCACCTGTGCAGGTTCTTTGACACGCAGTGAGATTTGTGCTCTGCCATAATCCCTTTCCAGACTCAAGGAACAGAAATGGCTGTTGCCCCTCATGAATTCCTTGATGTCTAATAAGACTTGTACTTTCAATAAAGCCTTTCCCGCATTCCAGGCATTTAAATGGTTTCTCTACTGTGTGAATTCTTTGATGAACAGTAAGGTTTGACTTCTTACTAAAGCTCTTTCCACACTCTAAACAGTTATAGGGCTGCTCTCCTGTATGTATTGTCTGATGCAAAATGAGGTTTGTACTCTGCATGAACTTCTTTCCACATTCCAAACACTTATACCGCTTCTCTCCTGTATGGATCCTTTGATGCATAGTAAGGCTTGACTTCATACAAAAGTTCTTTCCACAGTCCAGACATTTATATGGCTTTTCTCCTGTGTGGATTCTTTGATGCAAAATTAGGTTTGTACTCTGCATGAACTTTTTCCCACATTCGAAGCATTTATACCGCTTTTCCCCTGTGTGGGTTCTTTGATGTACAATAAGGGCTGAGCTGTGACTGAATCTCTTTCCACATTCCAAACATTTATATGGTTTCTCTCCTGTGTGTGTTTTCCAATGTACTTTAAGGGTTGATATACTAGCAAAGCTTTTCTCACACATAGAGCATTCAATTCTTCTCTTTCTTTCATATAGTGTTTTTTGATATTCTGCTATCTGAGAAGCAACGGATTTACTACTTCCTTGACTCATTTGGCTTTTCTCTTGCTTTCTGGGGACATCATGATTCCAAGAGTTCCCTTCCATTTCTAAATTCTTATCACTTTCTTCCAATACTTCAAGTGCTTCACATTCTTTCGCTATATTCCACACATCTCCTACTGAAATAAAGGGAACACTGATATCAGCACAATGAAGCAATTCAACTTCTACGTATAATTAAAGGATACAAATAAGTATCTGTCAGGACAGCCCTTCACATAGTTGGTAGGGAGATATTCCTGCCAGAAATGAAACTACTAGTTGAATGACATCAACTACAAATCAACTACAAATTGAAGGTCAAAGAAGATGGGGACGGCAAAGGATGAGATGGTTAGACAGTATCATAGATGCAACGAACATGAAGTTGAGCCAACTTCAGAGGACGGCGGAAGACCGGAAGGCCTGGCAAAATCTGGTCCATGGGGTCGCAAAGAGTCGGACTCGACTGTGCGACTGAACAACAACAAAGGGGCAACCATCTAGCTAAGATTGTTTGACCTCCCACCCTCCGGTGATGTGGAGCATTTATTTGAACTTCTAAAGCTTTTAATTGCTATACCAATAAAAATTGTGACTCGACTGTGCGACTGAACAACAACAAATCAACTCCTTGGGACAGTCACTAATCAGAAATCCTTTCTCCAAGGACAAGATGGAAGCTAGAAGACCAGTCATAAGCTGTAACTGAAAACTAGTTGGCTTTGTTCCTTCTTTGGGGAGGCAAAATATCCCAGAGATGGTGCTTTATCCCACTCAGTTCTGATCAGTCTTGCAACTCCTCTAATTTGGCTGCCTATTGTTCTCTTCCTCTTTGCCAGGGGTTCTATGGTTGTCTCCCACCCACCCACCAGCCCCCGGCTGCTGCTGTCGCTGCAGCCATAGTTTTGTGGTTTTGACCTTGGAAGCCCCATCTCCCACTTCCTGTCATGTGATCATCTGCCTCAGAGAATCTGTAAAGAAGCAGAGGTGTGAAACTGAAAGAAGACGGAAATTGTAGTGTAATCAAAGCTGCCTTGAATGCATGATATGTTGTGAAACATCTAATTGAAGTGTAATGTAAAGCTTCGTCCGAGGCTAGGATCCAAATCCATCCAATCGTGTTACTAGCCCAGGAAGCACCTAACCAATCACCTTCTAGCAAGCTCCCTGAGCGGGAACATCCGTGATTGGTCCTTATGTGAACAACCTTATTGGTTGGTATTTGTACAGTGGGTGTGGCTACATTAGCTGGGAACGTTTAAAAGCAGGACAGCTGAAATGTAAAGGCTGTTCTGGCTATCAGATGTTGATCCGTGTTGGAGTTGGGTTCGAGTGGAAGAATAAAGTTGTGTTCTTGCTGAATCACTCTCCGACTTCTTTGTTAAGCGAGCGACTTAACAGAAATTTTCTAGAGTTGTAAGCTGAGATACTCACTTTTATCAACTGTATTTTGGAAGGAGATATCCTTGGGTGATCCTCCTGGAGAACCTTCAAGCATTCTTCTTGGCTGTGGGCCTTCTTGATGAAAGTTCTCTTCTTCTGCAATCTCTGTCATTGTCCTTTCATCTTTGGGAGACAGAGAAGATCACAAGAAGTTCATCCTAGCATGACAAATAATTTTATTTGCACCTGCTCTAGAGTTCTACAGTGCTTGGTGAGTCAAAGCCTCATTAGCTGAATGCAGCACTGCATACTCTTAGTGAGTTCTGCTAAAACAAAACCTCTGAAATATTAACAGTCAGATGTTAGAGCTTTTGCCAGCAAAACATACAGAGAACTTCTTTGAGTTAACGAGTTTTTGTAAAATAAAGCATTACTCTTTGTATTAAGCGAGGACTTTACAAATAGAAACAGGTAGAATTCTGGGAAATCCGGCCCCACCTGGAGGTAACAAATTATGAGAGACAATAGGAGAAGCTGATCAACCAATACAAACCACTGAGATATAGTTACGAATAACTTATTTTATGTAAATTTCTATGCAATTCACTTATATTAGGTAACGGTAAAGGTTCCCTTGCTCGAAAGCCAGTCGAGTCCGACTCTAGGGTTGCGGTGCTCATCTCCGTTTCAAAGCCAAAGAGCCAGCGCTGTCTGAAGACGTTTTCCGTGGTCATGTGGCCGGCATGACTAAACACCAAGGCGCACGAAACGCTGTGACCTTCCCACCGAAGTGGTACCTATTTATCTACTTGCAATTTCTTGCTTTCGAACTGCTAGGTTGGCAGGAGCTGGAACTAGAGATGGGAGCTCACTCCATCATGCGGCACCCAGGTCTCGAACTGCTGAACTACTGACCTTCCATAGCCTGCAGTTCAGTGTCTTAAGCACTTGAGCCACCGCAGCTCCTCACTTATATTACTTAAACCCTATAAGAACATAAGAACATAAGAGACACCAATGTTGGATCAGGCCAAAGGCCCATCCAGTCCAACACTCTGTGTCACACAGTGGCCAGAAATACCAGTGCCATCAGGAGGTCCAGCAGTGGGGCCAGGACATTAGAAGCCCTCCCACTGTTGACCCCCCCCAAGCACCAAGAAGACAGAGCATCACTTGCCCCAGAGCCCCTAGCTATACCTTGTGGCTAATAGCCACTGATGGACCTCTGCTCCATATGCTTATCTAATTCCCTTTTGAAGCCATCCATGCTTGTAGCACCCACCACTTCCTGTGGCAGTGAATTCCAAGTGTTAATCACTCTTTGGGTGAAGAAGGACGTCCTACTGATGGACCTCTGGTCCATATGCTTATCTAATTCCCTTTTGAAGCCGTCCATGCTTATAGCACCCACCACTTCCTGTGGCAGTGAATTCCATGTGTTAATCACTCTTTGGGTGAAGAAGTACTTCCTTTTATCCGTTCTAACCCGACCGCTCTGCAGTTTCATGGAGTGCCCA